AATCGAGGGATGCGAGTATAAAATCTATGATTACTTTGCCAGAAACGACCGCGGAGAGGAGAAATCGCTGTTCGGGAAGCTGGTGGAGGAACTCGAGAAATGCATCCTGAGCCACTTCGTTTTCCACTATAACCATGCCCCTTCGATTGTCTCTTGGGTAGGTTTTGGAATTAAATTATACCCCTGCAGACTTCAAGTATCTCATCAATTTGGATTCATTTTTCAATTTTGTTGACTAATTCATTTTTCCGTTGCTCAGGTGATGAACGGTGAATCGGAGAAGCCTAAGCTCAAAAGCTTTATAGTGGCAGCCACCGCCACCAGGTGGATTGGCGAGGAGGTGTATTGATGCGATGAAGGAGATAGTGCCCATAGGGGTTGTTTGTTTTTGTTAATTTTGTATTTAGTTCGTTAAGGTTATTTAAGTAATTTTGCGGTTTTAAGTTAGGGCGATAAAATAAATTAGGGCGAGGTTTAGCCATTGAGTTATGAAAAACGGGATGGAAAGTGAACATGTCATTACCTTTCCTACTTGGGCCTGGCTCTATCAGCCCGCCTTTTTTTCCGAATCAGCCCATCCTTGTTCCTTCTTGGCATAAGAAAAAAAAACCAAAGGCAAGCAGCAACAACCGACTAGGGCTGCAAACGAGCCGAGTCGAGTCGAGTTTTTGCTTAGTTTGAGCTCGGCTCGTTTATAAATTTTTTAGCTCGAGCTCGGCTCGAACTCGAATTTTCATCATCCAGCTCGAGCTCGAGCTTGACTCGATTAAAAATAATCCAGCTCGAGCTCGGCTCGATAAAGCTCGGTAAATGCTCATTAACACAGCTTGTCAAGCTGAGTACAAGCTCGGCTCAAGATAAACTCGATTTGAAACCATTCTTGCTGAAAAATGTGTACAAATAAGAACATTAGAAATTAAAAATGATAAAAATAACACTAAAAACTAAAAATAACATCTAACTTCCATACACATCTTTATTAACAAGATAATTTTCATGTTCAGAAAAGTAATTAATCCTTCCACAAGATTTAAATAAGCCAGCTCGCGAGCTTAGCTCAACAAGCCACCGAGTCAAGCTAGCTCACGAGCTTATCAAGTCGAGCATGACCTAGCTCAAGCTTGGCTCGTTTACTAACGAGCCAGCTCGCGAGCCGGCTTGTTAAACAACGAGTCGAGTGTTGAATGAATTTTTTCCGATTCGAACGCCCGAGTTGCTCGCGAGCGGCTTGACTCATTTGCAGCCCTACAACCGACAAATAAAAGCCGAATTACGAACCCAGGGCCCAGAAGCCCGGTGGGGGAAAACTGCCAAACCGATTGCTTGCCAGTTGCCAGTTTACGATTCCTTCCCACCCTAGCGATCTATCTTTATTGCCATTGTCTCTCTCTCCCCGTTCTAAGTCGCCGACGTCGCGCAAGAACAAGTTTCTCCCCTAAAATCTATTCGGGTTCTCTAATTCCGGTCATAAGAGTCTGATCAGAATCCTTGAACGCCATGTACGGATCCAGAGGGTAAGTATTCCGCGAAGCACCGTCTACTTTTTCCCCTAGTTTATTTCGTATCTTACTCTGATTGAATTGCTCTCTTGCTCCCTTCGAACCCTAATTCGTAATCAATCTGTCGACCGCCTTGTTGAAAGATGCATCACTTGTCCAAATTAACGTCGTCTATGTTAGGATTGTTAGATTTTTGTGGGATTAGACTGATTTGGGCGCATGGATTCTCTTTACAATTTCTGCTATCTGAATCTCATTAAAGCTTCGGATAACCATTGTTGGCTGCTTAACTTGGTATCATCATTGATGATTGATTTGCTTCTTCAATATGTACTTGTTGTTGTTGTTGCTCATCTGCTATTTGCTTTCGGTGGGTTCAAATTTCATGACGATGGTTTTCTTATTGTGGACTAGTATAGCCTAGTAGGTATGAGGGCAATGTGGGTTGGGTATGGTTTATATTAACAGGGTGGGAATTTTCTTTTCTATTTCCCCATCTTTTGGGTATTTGGATAATTGAAGGGCAATGTTGGGAAGCGGGGGGGTTTCGGATGGGTACGAGATGGTGGGCTCAAAGAGACAGAGAATGATCGAATCCAATCCCTACTTTGCTGCAGTGACCGCCAATGCTGCAGCCGTGACCGGCTTCCAAGTTCAGCCATACGCCTATGCCTCCTCCGCTGCTGCTGCTGGAATCCAGGCGCCTCCTTTCCCTGTGGTCCGCCTTAGAGGCCTGCCATTCAACTGCACTGATATCGACATCTTCAAGTTCTTCGTCGGGCTTGACATTGTTGATGTGCTCCTGGCCAACAAGAACGGACGATTCACGGGTGAGGCGTTCGTCGTGTTTGCAAACTCGATCCAGGTCGAATTTGCCCTGCAGAAGGACCGCCAGAACATGGGGCGGAGATACGTCGAGGTCTTCAGGTGCAAGCGACAGGACTACTACAATGCAGTTGCTGCTGAGGTGAACTATGAGGGGATCTATGATAATGACTACCATGGAAGCAGCCCGCCTCCAACTCGAGGGAAGAGGTTCGAAGATAAGGAGCAGATGGAGTACACCGAGATTTTGAAGATGCGAGGTTTGCCCTTCTCGGTAAAGAAACCTGAGATCGTCGAGTTCTTCAGGGACTACCAGCTGGTGGAAGAGAGGGTTCATATAGCTTGCCGCCCTGATGGGAAGGCTACCGGTGAAGCATTTGTGGAGTTCATATCGGCAGAGGAGGCAAAAAGAGCAATGAATAAAGACAAGATGACGATTGGGAAGAGGTATGTGGAGTTGTTTCCTTCGACCCCGGATGAAGCCAGACGAGCCGAGTCGAGGTCTAGACAGTGATTGAATGAGCGAAGGTTAGGAGGGAGTTTATCTGCTAGTCTGGAAGTTAAGCGGGGGATGTTTGCTTTTATTCCTAGTAGCTTTTGTTTGATTGGGAAGTGGATACTAATGTAATATTGTAACTTATGGATGTTCTGGATTCTTGTCTTTCTATGGATGATCCTGTTTCTCATCAACTGATTGAAAACGAACCGACAACTTTGAAGAAAAACACACAAAAGTTCACAATGGAAGAAAGGGTTCGATACCGGTGTCTGTTCTGCTCGACTCTTGCTTGCTTGGGTTTGTTTAGTATAACTTGCCAATAGAATTCTTTCATCTCGAGGAAAATTGAAAAATAAAATCGGTTTCAACAAGTTCTTAAGCTAGGGGTCGGTTTGTTCATGTCCCGTAGAAGTTAGATTTTACAAAGCTCCTTTCTAATATCTCTCAAAGTATAAGGTCGAAGGTACTACTGGAGTTAGATTATATCATCTGTTAATGATCCGAGCCGAGCTGAACTTTGTCATTGTTCGGGCTCGACTTGTTAAAATATTTCCAAGCTCGAGCTCTGCTCCTTGAGTTTGGCTCGCCAAATAAGTTTTAACGAGCCCAAAATCAAATTCAACTCATCAAATATTCATGATAACTCAAGATTGAGCTAGAACTGAGCATAAAATTACATTCAAACCTATAGCAAAGTTTCTAACAAAATAAAATACGATATTTATCTCAATTTCAAAACAAAAAGTCCATGAATTTCAATCCTTTCTGATGCCAAACCGTTAAATGAGCTTGTACGCGAGCTTTCGAGTTGAACATGATATGGCTTGAGTTCAGCTCGTTTAGTTAACGAGCATGTTCACGAGTAAGCTAGATTAAGACGAATCGAGTATCGAACGAGTTTTTCTCGAATCGCACACCGAGTCGTTCATAAATAACTTAGTTCATTAACAGCCATACCAGAAGGGCTATATCTCCACTTAACTTCAAAATACACGTAAATTTATATGTTACAAATTTAGTAGATAACTAATCATTAAAGCCTTGGCCTCCCTCTCAAATCATCAAAATTGAAAGTCAGCCCCCTCATAGATTTCTAGTTCTCCACCGATCAAAGGTAAGAATACTACGTGGAATTTCAGGAGTTGTCCTCAACTTGTTTCAAGTATGGTGTTATGGCTCTATACCGAAGACATGCTACTGTCGTACCCTTGCTGTCTCCTTAACGTGACATCCAGTAAGGTGCCTGAGCTGGAGAAATTATAGGAGAAAGAGCGCAGAGCAGCAGACCAAGAAAGGCGACGAAGGCCAATGGCCACGAAATTAAAAAGAAAAAAGAAAAATCCATTGGCTGAAGCACCAAGGAGCAAGCAACCGCTGCACGCCCACAATAGACAGCAAACAGCAAAAAGAACTCATAAACAGGACTTGGGAAACTGCAGAAGGCGCAAACAAGGGTTGTCAAACATGCATCTAGCGTTCTTCTGGTATTTGAGCCGACATTTTGGAAATATCTTCTACAAGTCAGAACCAGAAAGCAATCAACCAAATCAAGATCCACACGAAACAACAAAATCGAGCTGAGTGCCTGATCAAGAATGCAGCAGTTATAACTCCGATCCTTAGAAAAGGAAAACAGCAGAGTGGCACCCAAATCTTGCATTAAGGTACATAGTTGTTAGCATGAAGTTTGTACTATAGTAAAAGGAATACTTGCAAGAACCACTATTTTGGGATCACTATATACCAAAACTTTAATATACAAGTTCAACAAGGAAAAAACGAAAGAAAGAAATGACCTCTATAGATTCTGATACAAGGGAACAGGGTTCTCCGACTCCCTCATCTCTGTTTGCTTACATAGGAATCGAAGATGAGCGATCGTTTTTTTTTTTTTTTTTTTGTTTCAATGAAGGTATAGTATGATTAGTTATCCTCATATTGAAGGGGAGGCAGTAACTCATCAAGTAACTTGTTCTACTTGAGGATCCGAGCAACGAATTTACTGACCCTGGTGGATAATATCAACCAAGGTATAACCCCAACCTGCAGCAACATCAATACAATGTCAAACACAGTCCGAGAGCTTAAGCTTTAAAATAAAAAAGCCTCTTCTAAATTCATAATACTCCAAAGACTACAAAGGAATAAGCGACTTGCAGATTCATCAAACATGCAACGAGGGATACGAAGGAAAAAGATTAGATTCATCACTCTCTAAACTGAATATAAGAATTCAATGAAAAAACCTGTTAGCAAAGAAACATTTGATTCATCACTCTCTGAACTGATAAGAAGATCACAAAACCTGATAGCAAAGAAACAATCATGTTGAATCTGAACACTACAAGGAGGCCCCTTTAATCTGAACACTACAAGGAGGCCCCTTTCTGTTGGCGGTAACTCTAATACACCGATTAAAAGAAACAAATAATAGGGTGACCGAACACAAAAGTGAAGCTCGAATGCACGAGGCTCACACTTACTCAGAACATGTGACAGTTAAAGTCAAAAGAGTTAACAAAGAATTACCGTAACATTGTTAGTTAAGTGGCTACCAGCACTCCAGGAGAGTAGCTTTCCTGTAAATAGATAAAAGAATTAAAATGAAACCTATGAATAGAGTCATTGAAGAGAGGTTAACGCAGGAGGTTAAGGAAGAGTCGGATAAAAAGAAGAAAAATCCTTACCAAATGGCTGCACAAGTTGCTGAGATACGACAGCAACTGGAGCCTTCCAATACCAGCAAACAAAAAGAGAATAAGTAATAACCTGTGCACCAAATAAAAATCTTCTCAGTTCATCAAGATTAGGTTAAAGTATCTGCTACAGCAAATCAATCTAGCAACTATGACGATACAACTTATAGCGCACACTCACCTTTAAGAGAAACAAAATCTTTATGTACAAATCATAAGACATTTTCACCTCCTTGCCCTGTGACTCTTGATCTACAAGGGGACAACCAAAAATGGAATTAATCCTTGATAACCATTCATTCGCATAGAACCCCAAACTGCAATTTGTCTTAATCGGGGAATAGAGACATATGCATCCAGTAATATGCCGTTCTGCATATCAACGATTCTCCATTGAATATGACAAACTAAACCATCAATTTCGAGCAGAGACATCCAATCCAGGGAGCAGCTAAATACATGGATTGAAGAATCATTGAATATAAGTTTCTCAAACAACACAAAATAAAAATAACAAAATACTGATTCAATAGCCTTATTACAGTTTGCAAGTTCCTTCTCTTTGGCAGCTGCGGACCTCCTAAGTTTGGCTGCTTGAGCAAATGTCGATGGCCTGTCGATAGTCATTAGTATTGAATAAGTTTAGCACCCCAAATAAAAAGTAACTAGGGGAGCTGAAGAAGCACAATATGCCACAATTGAAACTCAGGACTTGGGATATGCATTGATAAAATGGATGCAGATAAACAAGAAGGTTCCGAGTGCATAGTAGTACTCTAAGGAACCTAATAGCCAAATTTGATCTCAGTAATCATCTACGAAACCCGATGAAGAAGGAATCACTCACTGCGAGAAGGTGCTGGCCTCTTTGTAGAGTCGCTTTATTTCTGCACGCAGTTGAACTTCCTTCTCGCTCTTAGATGCGTTCTGTAACACAACGGGTGCAGCCTCAACCAATGAGTTCGTCGATCAAATAAGAGGTCAAGACATTTAACCCATCTAATTCCTGGCAAATTGATTAAGCATACACGAACACGAAAGGCAAAATCACGAGACACGCAAAGTATCTATAACTAACGCAGCGCTCCACAGAAAGGCATAGGGAAAATTTACACAAATGTCCCATTCCAGAAATGATAGCCACTTCATTATCGGATTTTGGATAGAACCAGAATTTCGATTCAATTGAGATGGAGGAGAAAGGAGATGGATAATTTACCCTCTTCAGGAGCTCCAACCTTCTCGAGGCCAACTGGAATAATACGACAATGGAGAAGATCAGAGGAGCCACGATAGACCACTGGTGTTGCAGCGGAGCCTCGTCGCCTTCCATGGTTCAATCTCGGAAACGGGAAATCTCCAGGTCCGCGCCTTCTCCTTCTTCGGAATCTTTTCGTTTTCGTTCGTTGTTCCTGTTTTTTCTTCTTCCTCTTCTTTTTTTTGGTTCAGACGACGCATCGCAAGTAGCAACGGATATGACCACTTAATTGGGCTTCTCTTCTTTCGGGCCTGTTCTTCTATTCTGCAGATTTCAGAAGTTTAGGCTCATTCCTCTCATTCCTCCGGCCCAGTCGCTAATAGTTTTTTTTTCATAAAAAAGGATTTTAATTTCAATAACACGTGTCGACCATCCGTTTCCCCCACTCCATCTCCATGGATCGAACTTGAGCCCGCTGTCATAGTTAGTAAAATACGGTACGGGAAAGTTACGTAAAAGATACGTACGGGCATTATACTTCATCTTTAAGCTAAAATTACGTTTAATAGTACGTTAATAGTCATAAATTTATAAAATTAATCATTTTAAAAATAAATAAATATATAAATAATAGTAAAGTTAACAATTTAATTCGTAAAATACGGATAATAAACGTGTTATACGGGTTTTATACGTGTTTAGTACGGGAACCATGAAATGAACGGGGGAAAATGAAACGGCTTGACAATAATACGGATACGGAAGTTTTAAACGGATAAAGTACGTACGGGTACATATACGTGTATTAAACGGAGTATTTACTAACTATGCCCGCTGTCACACGGCAAACGCACGAAGTGGAGAGACTGGAGAGGATATCGGTTAGCGAACCCCAACTGCACATTCGGTGCACAACTATGGGCCCCATGTGTAAATCTAAAATATCTTCCCGATCCAACGCGCCCGAGTGGCAACTCGCTCTCGAGTCTCGACTCATCTGAACAACAAGAATACCCGGATCGCTGACGTGGCCAAATTCTAAATTTCTTTTTTTGAAATCCCGCCCGAGCCCGCGGCTTCCAGTGTGCTTCCCGGGATTTCAATTTTTTTTTAGCTTTCCGATTCTTCAGTGTTTACTAAAAAGACCTTTGCCCTCTTTTTACCCTTTTCCTTCCCCTTCTTATCTCCCCCACCCCTCTTGGCTTTTTTCTCTTTTCCTCCAAACAACATCGCCTCTCCCAAACAACTCACAACTCTCCTGCCGCCGATTCTCTCTCGCTCACTCGTTTGCTTTGCTTCTCCTCCGCCCCCTTCTCTAATCCTCTACGGCTGAAGCAGGTAAGCTCTGACTCCTCGCGGTGGTGCCGGTCGCCTTTTCTCACTCGGTCGTCGTATTTTCCTGCTCTCGCTGACTCCTGATTCATCCGTTTTCCTCCCCCACTTCTGCAGGAATCGAATCGCAATGAAAGGAGGAAAATCCAAGGCTGATGGCAAGAGTACTGATGCCGCGTGAGTTACCTCTATTTATCTCTCTGCTTATTGTATCTCGTTTGTGGCTTCGTTGCGATTCCAGATCTAGGACCTTCTTAGTTCAATTGTTTTCGTTCTTCTGTTCTCCTTTTGGCGTTGGGGATCGGTGGAACTTATTCCGATGTCCGTTTGACTTCTGCTGTGCAGGCTAAAGCCGAGAGCGGCTGGAAGATCGAAGAAGGCAGTCAAGGATCCAAACAAGCCTAAGAGGCCTCCCAGTGCTTTCTTCGTCTTCATGTATGCGATTTGCTTTTCGGTTTCTAAATCTTCGATTGATTCTCCAACTTCCTTCCTCTTGTTGATTGAATCGCCTTCAAAATCTGTGCTCTCGCCCTGACATCTGTTACTGCGTTTTACCAGGGAGGAGTTCAGGAAGGTGTTCAAGGAGAAGAATCCTAACAACAAATCTGTTGCTGCTGTAAGTTTCATTAACGCAGTTCTGTGGCCTGTGTGTGGATCTATCTGAATAAGAGCTATTCCGATCCGTGAATTCGGATTTATGGCTGTCTGATTGTTTAATTCAAATGATTGCTTCCCTGGTGCGTCGTGGTAATCTGTTTGCTTCTCTCAATCCGGTTTAGGTCGGGAAAGCTGCCGGCGAGAAGTGGAAAGCTATGTCTGAGGCAGTGAGTATTCCTCCGGCTCCGTCGTTTGTTGGTGCGTGTGCTCTCCGTTTTCATTCCGTCGCTTATTTCGTTTGCGTGTTGTTCAAATCAGGACAAGGCTACTTACAAGGCAAAAGCAGACAAAAGGAAGGCTGAATATGAGAAGACCATGGATGCTTACAACAAGAAACAGGTACAGACTAATCCTTCACTTCTGTTTCAGCTTCCTGATTATAGTTCAGAACTCGGTTCTTACAGTTCCTTTCCTGAATTCATTTGGGAATGAATAATAGGCTGGAGGTCATGGTGATGATGACTCTGACAAGTCCAAATCTGAAGTAAATGATAACGAAGATGAAAGTGGAGAGGTAAGGCCGAATCCAACTGTTAGATTTCTCATTTTAGATCTGTAACTGTTGGAATTCGATATTCTAAATCCTACTGCAATGCCATTGGTTTCCTTTCACAGGAGGAAGATGATGACGAGTAAGGTCCGGCTGTAGAAAGCTTTTGGAGGATCAACTGGTACACTGCCAGTATGAAGTGGAAGTTGCTTCTTCGTCTTCTCCTTGTTTAACTTCGAGAGTTATAATGTGACTGGGTATTGGGTAATGGATATTTCTAGTTTGCTGTTTAGATTGTAGGGTTGTAGGAAACATATCTGTAAGGGGGCAGCCTTCCCCTCTCCTATCCTAGTGCTCACAGTGCTCTTTTTTATGTACTTAAATGCGTATCTTTGACCTGATATGATGAGTAAGTTGTTGAACTACTTACTGATCTCTTGTGTTGGTATTGACCATATCCAGCCTCTTCTTTTCTGTCAAATATGTCACCTCCCTATGATGGTGGGGTGAAGTTTCTCGACATTGTGGAAGTTTGTGATTGCTGCTTTCACTGCCTGTTGGTTTTGTGTCAGTGTGACGTATCAATGTTTTTGTTTTTTTGCGGCGGCTGGCGAAGAATCTGTGGCCTGTTATCTAGAGGTCAAATATGTGTCTTGAACCTTTCGGATTTTGGAGTAGAATGGAAATGTATTGTACTGTCTTGAATCATTTAGGACCAAGTTTGAATTCGTTCCATTTGAATTTTGTCTCTCCTTGATCAGTGGTGTGCGACATTGCTTAGTAAAAACCTTCTGAATCCGATACTCAGCCAGTCAGTAGTAACAAGTCATGTACTGTGACGGTGTGTTTTAACTTTTAACTGAAGCTAATTTCAAACGTCATATTGGCACTATTTTTTTTTTTTTTTTTTTGACAATAGCAATCATCATTTCATTCCAAACCCACGCAAGTGAGAAGCAATACAATCACAATAATGGAGCGACAAGATCGGCAATGACAATCCATTCCGAAGGAAGGAGATCGAGACGAGAGTTCCTCGCAATCCAATCAGCCACGGCATTGAATCGACGAGGGACAAACTCAACCGAGATCCAAGGAGAGAGGCAGAGAATGGAAACAACTCGGGCAAGAGTTGCCCGGCATTGCCATGGCCACGTGCTCGGATCCTGTCTCAACGCAATCGTCAACCTCTGACAGTCGGATCGGACACACGTTGGGACTGGATCCTGAGCAGCCAGGATAACTGCATTAAGAATCGCATAAGCTTCCGCTTGTATAGGAGAAGAACAAAAGAATCTCTCAGCCCTTCCGTCGATAACCTGACCGTGGGAGTTAGCAATAGCAATCCCATACGCCGCCTCCTGTGCATCAGAGACAAAGGAACCGTCACAATGCACAACCTTACTGTAAGGACCAGGCGGTGATAAGGCCGTCGACCGAGATCTCCCAGGCTGAGACGGCAAACCAGCTGATCTTGAAGAAGAAGGAGAGGCTGAGGGCGAGGCCATAGCTTCCTTAATGATTCGGTACTCTCTATCAGCTAGAATTGCCACAGTGGATGGGGAGAACACCTTCCCTTCGAATACCATTCCATTACGAGCAATCCAGATATTCCACATTGTACACACAATCTTGTTGATTTGGTCAGGTGCCAAGCTGTCTCTGAGAGGAAAAAACCAGTTCGCAAAGCTGGTATCCGCAGAAGGGGGAACCTCCAACAAGCCAACCCTAGACCATGTCTCAAATGCCTTGTGGCAGTGGAACAAGCAGTGCATATTCGTTTCAACATGCTCCTCACACACTGGGCACACTGGGTCAGAAGCACACTTGCGTTCAAACAACCTCGCTCGTGTTGCCAATGCATTCTTACCACTCTTCCAAATGAAAAACCGAAGCTTAGGGGGCAAGGAAAGATCCCACAGCCACTTCCAATCATCCTTGTTTGGTCGAGGAGAGGAATCTGCATCAAAAGCTTGAGGGGAATCTCTCACCTCCCTAAACAGACGGTAAGCAGATTTAACACTGTAGCCTCCTGATTCTGTAAACCTCCAAATCCACCGATCCTGCGCAGAACAGGGGCCAATCGGAACTCTAGCAATAGCTTGGACAATCTCTTCAGGAACCAGATTTCTGATTGCATCCATGTTCCAGCTGCGATTAGTTGGATCAATCCACTCACTAACACGGGACGGCTCTAACCCCAGATGAGATAAACTGAAATTTTGAATGGACGGTAGCCAAGGGTCACAGTGGAATTGGGATTCCTCCCCAGACATGACCCCCCTCAGCAAGCCATCCTTCATATGTTCCTTGACCTCGCAAAATCCATTCCAGATCCATGAGCTTTTCCTTCCTTTAACTGCCGTAAACAAATCCCCATTGGGAAAGTAGAGCCCCTTTAAAAGCTTAGCCCACAAGGCATCCGGATTATCAAAAAGTCTCCACACCTGTTTCCCAACAAGCGCAAGGTTGAAAAGGTGGAAGTTCTTGAAACCCAACCCTCCTTCTTCTTTAGGCTTCTCCAAATCTCTTGCGCTACACCAGTGGATACCCCTCTTCTCATGGATCCCGACCAGAAAAAGCGCTTTAGTATGGAGTCCATTTTGTTGGTTAAGCTAAGAGGTAGCAAGAAAACACTCATGATGTAGGTCGGCAAGGCTTGGATAACTGCCTTCAACAGAACTTCCTTACCTCCAGGGGATAACATAAGGCTCTTCCAAGAATCACCTTGCTTTTCCATACGCTCCAGAAGAAACCCAAAAGTTTCTTTTTTGGATCTACCCCATTCAGTTGGAACTCCCAAGTACTTGTCGTGGCAAACCGAAGGCGGAAATTCAAACTTATTAGTCACCAGGGAACGGATACCCTGAGGAGTATTCTTGCTAAAAAAGATGGAGGACTTTGATGCATTGATCTCTTGCCCCGTAGTATCCCCATAAACCTTAATGATATCCATAGTACGCTCAGCTTCCAGGACACTAGCTTTGCCAAAGATGACTGTGTCGTCTGCAAACAAACAGTGGGAGATCCGCGGGCAGTCCTGGTTGAGCTTGATGCCTCGGATGTCCCCTCGAGAGACCCCTTTCTCAATTAAGAAGGACAAAGCATTAGACATAAGGATGAACAGAAACGGAGAAATGGGATCACCTTGTCTAATACCCCGAGACGGAGTGAAAAGATCAGTAGGGCTTCCATTGAGCAGAATTGAGAATTTGACCGTCCTGGTGCACGCTCGAATCCAGCCACGCCACTTCTCCGAAAACCCATAAGCCTCCAGAATGTAGTCAAGGCCGTCCCAGTCCACTAAATCATATGCTTTCCGACGAAGAACTGTTTTGGAGTCAAAGAGCTGGTGTTGAGTGGCTTAAAGTGGGGGACCAGAACAATAAATTTTTTCACGCGTCTACCACCCTTCGGAAGCATAGGAACAAGATTTCAGCCCTTAAAGATGATGATGGAAATTTGATTTCCCAACCTGAAGCTCTATCTGCTCATGTCACAAGATTTTATCAGACTTTATTCACGAAGAAAGATGGTCTCAATTTTGATTCTCTCCAGGATTTTCCGAAAATGGTTTCCGATGAAATGAATCTGGATCTTGACAGAGAGCCTTCTGTCGAAGAGATTAAAATTGCTGTTTTTGACCTTGGACCATCAAAATCTCCTGGACCCGATGGTTTTGCTGGGTCTTTTTATCGTAAGTTTTGGAGCAAAGTTGGTCCGGATTTTTGTAATGAAGTGATCCGCTTTTTCAGAACCTCGGTTATGCCACAGGGATGGAATGATACTCATATTGCCCTTATCCCTAAGGTTCTTGCTCCAGACACAATCTCACAGTATCGCCCCATTAGCTGTTGCAACTTCAGATACAAAATCATTTCTAAAGTTATCTCTAATCGAGTGAAGAAATGGTTGCCGGGATTGGTTTATGAGATGCAGGCCGCATTTACAGGAGGTAGACTCATTCAGGATAATGTTATTATTGCTCATGAGATACTTCATAACTTCAAGAATCGTCATATTGGCACTAGAAGTATTAGGTAAGACAAGATTTTAACTTGCTAAAAACTACAATATTTCTGGCATTTCTACTCGCACCACAGCGAAATACACATAATAGATCACTGATCATATTAGTGCTGATCAAGGTTGTCAACCCGCGAGTCGACCCGTATGTTGACCCACTTTGACTCTGACCTGGTGAGAAAAAACGGGTTGCAAGCACTCGTCAGGTCGACCACTACAAGGTATCGGGTTGGAGGTCAAATTGTGTCATTTTTTCTTTGGTTTGCGAAATGTGCTTATTTTTCGATTTTTCTTTTCGCCTAACTCAATCTTTGGAATCCTTAATTGAACATTTGAACATTGATGTTATATAAATATGTGTGAATTTTCACTATATGTTGGATCTAAGTACGACATGTTACTTTGGTGTAATATTATATGTTATTACTCGTATGTTAGATGAGATTTGATATAATTTATCAGGATAAGTACAATATAATGGCTCTTTCCATATTTCCGGGTTGAAACGGGCTAAAACGGGTGACCCATTAACCCTTGACCCACTAACTCGATCGGGTCTGGGTCAACCCGTGGGTTGACAACCTTGGTGCTGATGATATGGAGTCCTAAATATGACCTAGTTGGTTCTAGCTGCACGCCTATCCCACGAGCAGCAGATTGTTGCAGTAGCCAGTGGCCATGGCAAAAAGATCCTCTGGCCAAGTATATGAGGGTCCTGGGCTCCTGGCCATCCCGACCAAACAATTAGCATAATCGGTTGGCTAATTAAATCTCGTCCCGAGAAATAATAATAAAATACCAAATAATTAATAAAAATAAATGAGTTCAAAACTTTCAAATTTGTCACGATGGCTCGTACGGTAACATTTTGCCATATAAAACATGATGTTTCGTTCTTAATAACAAAACACGAGCCTTTTTAACCCATTCATGATGGTCATATCCACCAAGTTGCTGATACCTAAATGAAAGTACAGTTCCCATGTAGGTCATATGTTACTTCCATTTGCCCAATATCATTTCCATTAACTTCAGTTGGCGTGCTAATCGGTTCGGTTAATCACAATGATATGACAGTTCATATCAATAACCGAACTGATAAGCCTTATAAATTAATCATCTCTTATTGACATTATAAAAAAAAAAATCATCTCTTATCGATCCAATTAGTGGTTATTTTAATGGTTAACCAATAATAACTAACAAGCAAACATGGTGTTAGTTCCCAATAACTTACAAGATGCCCACCCAGCACATCCGCCTCATGGGAGTGAAGAGCTTGCATGGTGGGTTGTTTATGCTCTCAGTTTGGGAATAGAATACGTGTAAATCCATGGAGAACTGACGAGAGGTTACTTTTTTTTTTGTGTGTGTATAGAATAATAACAGATGCTTAACTTTCCCCCCCTTAATTTAACCATTTCTATTGACAAGAAAACAAATTATGCATGCCATAACCCGCTACCCACATAGAAGGTGAAGCGGCAAGAGTGGGTTTGGGAAGAAAGCCACTGAAAATGGACCACAAGCAGGGTCTTTTCTACCACACATTGGCTAATAAGTAATATAAGAGTTAATTGCATTGTTGGTTACTGAAATTACAAAAAACGTTCATATTTGGTCACTAGAAATATTTAAATTCAATTTTGGTCACTTAAATTAGTTAAATGATTCGAATTTGG